GGGGCAGAACCCTTTGTGTTGCTCCAGCGATTAAGATGAAATCACTTGGAGGGCAGAAGAAACTGGAACTTTTCAGTGACAGTCCAAAACTGTGGAACTCCCTTCGTCTTGACTTTGCAAGCTCAGTGGGGAAATGTGCTAATTAATCAGAACTGCAACTGGCCACAGCCCCTGGGTCCTTTTCCAGGTTGAACTTGGGCTCTGGGCCATGAAGGATTTGTTGTCCACACAGTACAATGGTCCTAACGTCTCCAGGCTGATAGTATTCATCTTTCTCTTTGCCAGGAACGTCTTCTCTTGGCGGCAGCGTACGTCTATGATGCCCAGTACAATAGGAACATCCCTTTTGAGACCTCACCACGGGCGGTCAGGTAAACGGTGTCATCTTTAGTCCTGTTGAACATTCTGGAGCCTGGTACACAGAGTGCAGAGAAATTACGTCGGGAGACTACGTCTCTCATGCTCACTAGAGGATTCTGAAAGTTACACGAGATGGAAAAAGTAACTTTTCTCTGCTTTGTCTTTTCCTGAAGAGCGGCATTATTAAACATAAGCAGGATCTGCTCACTCCTTATGCATAGCAGTCATGATTCATGTGATTAAAGCTGCCAGTCCCAGTAGGATGGGCCAGCATAAGTTACGTTGAGTGGAATGAAGTTTGAGGAAGTTGCTGCGGATAATCTAAACCCATGTCTCTTGGGACTTCCATTGAAATATAGCTAATACTGGCTTGTGGTGGTTTTAAAACAAGACTGTTAAGCCAGATGGAACATTTGTTTCCCAAAATACACTGGAATAGCCATTGATGATGAGCAGTACTGTATTTTCCCCACCATCCAAAAGATGGAAGGCTAGTCTTGGTTAAATGAGTAATAAAGTGTGTGTGTGTGGGGGGTTTGATGACGTAAAAGTATTGTGATTGTCTAAAATGCAATGGTTTGGTACGTATGTGATGGAAGAGATTGAGTGAGGAGTACAGGATATTGGTAAGACTAGTTAGGTGAGAGTAAGCTGAGAGAGAAACTAGATGGGGGGGGGGGGGTTTCCAAAGGTGTCTGGTAGTGAGAAATCATGGAGAAGTAGTTTTAGAGTCAGGGGGGAAACCATTCTGAGTGAGAGTTTTGAGAGAGTGTGATCATACAGAGAATGAAGACTTGTGTTGAATAAACTTAAAGCCTAGGAAGAGAACAAAATCTTTTGGACACCATTATTTTAATAAAACCTTATGATTTCTATTCAAGATGAGTTGTTCTGGCTTCAGTACTATGTGGGTGGTGTTCGAAGGGCCTGCGTGAAGGGGCAAACGCACACCCGTAGGGGCATCTAAAGGCTGGTGGCAGGGAAAGAGGGAGAGAGGAAATAAGGGAAGATTGTTAAAAGTAAACATGTTTAGTTCTATGGCCATTTAAAGAGACCATTACTAAGTAGTCAAGTGACAAACCAAAGGGAGTTTTGACATCAGTATCAGAGAGAGGGGTGTGACAGTGGTGTGGTGTATTGGTGTTTGGTTGAGGGCAGTGTTTAGCATTACAACAGAGATCCGTTCTTTCTTTTTTCTCGAACATCTTTCCCTAACAACATCAGCCCATTCCACTTGATCCGACCATGTTCTGTTCTTATGGCTTTCCCCACCGAGAGAAGCCAGGAGGACCTCTACAGGAAACCTTCTCGATTGGGGCTCCATCCTTATGGAATGGGCTCCCAGCAGAGCTGCGCCTGGCCCCTTCCCTCTCAGCTTTTTACAGGGTGTTCAAAAGAAGCTGTTCACTGAAGCCTTTGAAGGCATCCTCTCTTGATACTGAACTTCTTGCTATACCAGTGCCTCCAATACGGCGGCTTTGGTATAACAAGATTAGTCTGATTTTATGAGTTGAAGTATGGATTTTTTTTCATTTTATTCACCTGATGATTTATTTATATTTTATGTGTTGCTTTTTATATTGTTTTATATTGTCTTCATTTTTTTTTGAGGTAAACCACCCAGAGGAGTATGGCTAGCAATAGTCAGAGGGCCTACAAGCTTATGAAATTAATTAATAAAATTAATTTTGGTCCACCATCTGTGCCCCAAGCCTAAGCAGCCAACTCACCCCATCTCTCAGCACTTGCCAACAGCTGCTGGCCCACAGCTGCTGTTTGCTATGTGTTGTTGCTGTATTTTAGCTCCCCTTGTCATTTTTCTTTTCCTGCCCTCTCCCTGCTTCAGTTTGGGAAGAGGACTTCCCACTAAAGGCTTTCTGGAAATGGCTGCTGAGGAGGCTCGAGAAGAACCTGCTTCAGTATTGACTCAGGAGGAAAATGCCTATCTACATTCAGAGTTAGTCTCTCGGCTACATCTTCACAACTTCTAAATCTATTTGAATGGCTTCTGATGTACTTACCAAACTTTCTCTGTGCTACTTCCACTACAGTTTTGCAAGCTAAATTCATTTTCTGCTGTCGTTCTCAGTCCTGTTTATGGCTTTTCTTTCCAGGCTTTATTATCTCTACAACCACTGGACTATGCAAGCAGCCACCTATTTCTTTATATTTGTAGACCTTGCACTTGCCCTGTTTGAAGAGCCTGCTGTGTACCCACTTCCATTTTTGGTAAGTATAAAGGAAAAAATACGTGCTCTAATAGCCACTTTATTCCTAAGCGGGAGTCTGGATAAAAGGTGGGTAAGCCGAAATGATAACAACCCATTTTCTCCCTATGGCTTTAATTTTTATGCCACTTTTTCATGACTGTCTCCAAGAACGTGAACAAGAAGTTGAACTTTTAATTAAAAATAATTAAGCAATATGTTCATTTATTTGACTTCTCTTAAACCCATCTTCTGTCACCACTGTTCAGGACCCAATACCCTGAACATTCAGGACCAGTTGCTGTTACTGCTGATATTTCGGAAAATCCAGCAAGTTGCATAATGCCAGCCACAAAATCAAGTTTCTAGATCTTATAGATAAAAAGAAGCTTGCAAAAATACGTACCCCTGAGCCCAACTCTAGTTATACACAAGGAGCGACCCTCCAGTGAAGATATACAAAGCTTCATCCCTGTGGTTCACTTTGGAGCAGGCAGTGCAGTGCAGTCCAAAATCTTCTGCTTATATGGAAACTTCTTCCTCTAGGTGTAGATTTCGGTGGTCGCCGCCTCATTTAAAAAAATGTTCTTGGACTGCAACTCCCAGAAATCCTGACCAGCACACCTAACGGTGAAGGCTTCTGGGAATTTTAGTCCAAGAACATCTGGAGACCTACAGTAAGGTTGAGGCAACCACCGGTGTAGACAATCCTGACTGAATCAAGCAGCTGTGCTCCCCACTCCCACGGTTCTGACCTGGAAGAGATGGATTTTCCATGTCATGCTGCAGGAAGTGATGGGTTATCTCAAGGGGCTTGAGAATCAAATACTTTCTCCAAGTCCACATTGTCTGTTCTTGGCTGTTCTTTGAAAAATGTAAACAGGAAGCATCCAGTCCTATGTGATGATGAATGATTCCTCCTTCATAGCTGCAGCTACAAGGTAGCAATAGTCACCAAAGTGGGGGGGAGGCAAGGGTAGGTGTCCTTTTGTCTAAGGCAGAGGTGGCTGATGTCGCCATGATGAAGGACCGCTTTTCCAGTTTGGAGAAGTGGTTCATCATGTTGGCTATATCTGCCCAAAGGTCACACGCTCGGAGAGTATGGCTTAGAGCAATGATTCCCAACCTTAGGTCCCCAAATGTTTTTTGACTACAACTCCCATAAATCCTGGCCAGCACAGCCAGTGGGGGAAACTTCGGGGGCTTTAGTGTAAGAACATCTAGGGACTAAAGGTTGGAAACCACTGACTTAGAAGAAAGAGATAGAGATAAGTAGCATTTCTTCTGTAATTGCTGTTACGTAGAGTGAAATTACAGTGGTGTCCCGCATAGCGAGGTTAATCCATTCCGGATTAACCATCGCTATGAGGAAACATCGCTAAATGGAAAGTAAAAACCCATTGGAACGCATTAAACTTCGTTTAATGCATTCCAGTGGGGCCCAAACTCACCGTTCAGCAAAGTTCCTCCATAGCGCCACCATTTTCGCACCCTTGGTAAGTGAGGGCAGGGCGCGAAAGCGATGCGCGCAGCCATTTAGGGCATGTGGCGGCCATTTTGGAACCGCCGAACAGCTGTTAAAAAAACATCGCAATGCGAAAGTCGGTAAGCGAAACGCTTACCGATCCTCACAATGCGATGTTTAGCCTATCTAAACATCGCAATGCGATCACTTTTGCGATCGCAAATGTGATGTCGCTATGCGAATTCGTCGTTAAACGGTCGTTAAGCGAGGCACCACTGTACTTCCAACTTATGACAGCTCTACTAGGTTTTCAAAGTACATGGGTTGTTAAAGGAGAGATTTAACCAGTGCCACTCCTCAGTGAGTTTCTATTGTCAAGCATGGATTTGAACTCAGGTCTCCTAAATCGTAATTCTATGCTCTATCCACTATCCCACACTGTCTCTTGTGTTTTTAAAAATTGTTTTTTCTACTCTGATGTTAAGCAATTTCATTAAAATAAACTATTTTTGTTGAAAGAAAAATTAAGATTCTTGACTTAAAGTGCACTGCAGACTGCATTTAATGAGTCACAGAATAAATTAAATTAATTACAGAATAATTTTGGATCAGCTTTGAGCATCACACACTTTAAACTTCCTTTCTGTGTGACAAACAGCAGCAGGAACTATCTATGGGGCTGCAAGAAGGAGGCTAAAGAGTTTCCTGTGCAAACCAAATAATGTTGGGCCTTAAAATGATCATTAATACATCATTTTCTTTGATGAAAGGAGCACCTCTCACTATGTAATCATGCCCAATCACTAAGGGGGGGGGGGGGTCCCCCTGTGTCCCACCATGGAGAACAGTTCCATGGAGACATGGAAAGGGGCTTTTTCTACCATAACATCCCAACTGTGGAATGCCATTCCCTTGACTGGTGCTGACTTTCACATAATGTCTTGGCAGCACATCAGCATATATTTATTAGAGCCTTTGGGGAGGGGGGGGGGGGTGAAGGATCATACCCTGCTCAGGTTTAGTGCAATGGTTTTAATGTTTTAATTTTGTATTTTAAATTGCATGGTTTTAAATTGCCTCAATTATCTTGCGTTTGCGTTTTAAAATCCTTTTATATAAGCACTGTATGCTTAAGATCCTGTAATAAAGGGAAGGTGAGAGAGAGAGAGAGAGAGAGAGAGAGAGAGAATCCTCTTGAAATATATAATTGTGGGTTAAGAAAGAGAAATGCGAGAGAAGAGAGTGATTAAAAAGTCTCATCCTTAAAATAACAGCCTTGGGATCGCCCTCATTGAAGCAAACATTTACTGATTTGCTACTGAGTATTTTTTAAAAAAATTCAGGGGTGATACGAAGAGGCATTGGGAGTTATGGACCAGGACCTGGGGGTCCACATGTGACTTGTGGAATGGTATGCATTGCTTTAGTTCTGATGCTTATTCATTTTCCTCTCCCTTTCCTCAGGTTACTTCGCTGGCTGAAATCGTATGCCTCTTGGTCTTCTTTGGGAGACTTTTCCATTTTGCCCAGGTTACTCCTCGCATAGTGTTCTGGAAGGATACCAAGAACATCTGCCTCATTATAACAATATTGGTCAGTTGTAGTAGCTTGTAGTCTCCTGTTGAAGGAAAGAGCTGGATCCATCTGAAGGGTATGTCTCATTGAAGTTGATGGCACTTAAGGTACCTTGTTTCCCTGAAAATAAGACCTAACCTGAAAATAAGCCCTAGTAGAATTTTTCAGGATGCTCATCATATAAGCCCTACCCCAAAAATAAGCCCTAGTTAAGTGAAACCCTGCCCTCCATCTTTGTGCAGCAACCGGAAAATGATGACATGACTGTATTTGAAAACAAATGTAGATTGTTGCAGATGAAAAAAAAACATCCCCAGAAAATAAGCCCTAATGCATTTTTGGAGCAAAAACTAATACAGGGGTGCCTCGCTTGATGACGATAATCCATTCTGTTCAAATCGCTATTAAACAAAATCATCGTCAAGCAAAAAAAAAAAACCATTGAAATGCATTGAAAACCGGTTCAATGCGTTCCAGTGGGGGAAATACCTGCTCGTTTTGCGAAGATCCTCCATAGGGCGGCCATTTTGCGATGCCTGTATAGCGAAGACTCGGTCCTGAAAACAGCGGGGAGCCATTTTGCGACCCGGCAATCAGCTGTTTTCAATCATCATCCAGCGAAAAAACGGTTCCCAAAGCAGGTAACCAATCGTCGTAAAATGAAAAAAAACACCATTGAATCATTGTTTTGCAATCGCTGTAGAGATCACAGAAAAAAAAACCATTGAATCATTGTTTTGCAATCACTGTAGATATTGCAAAAAAGGCATAGTTAAGCGATTTCAGCGTCAAGCGGAGTAATTGTCAAGCGGGGCACCAGTGTATAAGAGCCTGTATTATTTTCAGGGAAACATGGTAGTCATGACTGACTTAATGCCTAGTGATTTCAATGGGAGTATTCTAAATCACACCATGGCTGGATCCAGCTGAACATTCTTTGCTTGTCGTGATGTAGGCTGTAGCAGAGATGAGTGGTCTCTTCAAGGAGACCATTTTCCTTTGCTCCTGCTATATTCAGTCCTGCCTGCACTGTAGTGGGCTGCAAGTTGATCACTTTCTGTCTGAGAAATCAGTGCTTTCTGTGAAACCTATAGGGTCAATCTTGCATTGAGCTCAAAGCAGTAGAGAGAATGAACTTCCCATATATATATCACTTTCTCCCTATGTAAGGAATTCAAGTTGGTTATGATGGTTTCAGTATGTTGTGTGTGGTATTCATGGTTTATATTAGATAGTTGATAGAGTCACAACATACATAGTTTGACAGTGTTGGGATGTGTAGAAATAGTTGTAGAAAACCACTCCATGGTTTTCTAATGCTGGATTTTGTGGTAACGTACCAAAGAACTTGCAGTTCTTGTCTTGCTTTGAGTGAGACAAAGAAGCCTGTGAATGTATCCAGGCATTTGGACCCGGATATATTAAGACAGTGGTTCCCAGCCTTGGGTCCCCAGATGCTCTTGGACTGCAACGCCCAGAAATCCTGGCCAGCACAGATAGTGGTGAAGGCTTCTGGGAGTTTTAGTCCAAGATCATCTGGGGAATCAAGGTGCATTAAGACTCAGCATTCAGTGGGCCTTTTTCTCTCCTAGTCTCTCCAAGAAAGCCATCACAAATGCTTGGTGTAAAAGAAGAGTGCACTGTGTATAGCTTGCCAGTTGTTGTTGGTCTACAGTGGTCATCATCTCTTTCCAGTTATGCTAACTAGAGCTGGTAGGCGTTATGGTCCAGGAACAACCATAGGGTGACACATTCACCATTCTTGTATGTCAGACGTTCATAATGATATATGAGACCCATAGGTCCAGGAACAACCATAGGGTGACACATTCAGAATGATATATGAGACCCATAGACATGATTTGTTGAATGTTAGAATCCTAGATCAGTCTAACTAACATCACAATCTTGAAAGTCAAATCCTTGAACATTGCTTTGTTTTCTGATCCCCAGAAACAAGAGCTCATGAAGTTGTTTTTTTAACTTTAATAATGGTGATGTGCCAATCAAGTCAATTGTGACCCCCTTTTCAGGGTTTTCCACGTAGACAACAGTCAGAATTTGTTTGCCATTCTCTTCTTCTGCGGGGGCGTCCTGGAACGGTGCAGCTTGCCCAAGGCCACATAGGTTAGCTCTTCTCCTAAGAGACAAAGTGGGGAATTGAACTCTCAGGCTCTGGCTCCACAGCAGAATACTTAAACCATTGAATTGTCCAGCCATCTGCCTTTTGAATTTAAGTTCCTTGGAATTCAGTGGATTTCTCTTCCCTTTCTTGATCCCAGGCCACTTTGGTTGACCTAATTATCCATGGAGCTCTTACAGTTTCAAGCATTCCTGGAATCCGGTGGTCAAGACCGTTGCGACCCATCTTTTTAATCAACTTTGCGGAAAGTCGCCAGGTAAGAAGCAATCCCTCTGTGTGTTCCCATGACCTACAGTCACCATTCCAGAAATATCAGCTAGCGAAATTAGCCAACAGCTAATTTACAAACCTTATTTCAATTTTGGGTTGTCTCTGTGCTCCAAAGATCTCTCTGTGTGGTCTGCCCCTCCTGAAACAAATATTATCCTTTTCTTTTTTTCACCCCTCCTGTATGCAAACAGGTAGGCTTAAGCCTGGCCTAGCTTTTGTGGAAGCTGAACCCTGAGCTAAGGTTATCATTAAGAGCAGGGGAACCTCATGGACTGAGAGGGAACCAACATGTTTGCCTCAATTGTGTGTAGTAGCTTAATCTGGGGGTGTTCCTATGAAGAACTGAGGTGGAAGCAACAGGAAGCATAGTTCCTGTTTCTTTGCATAACCCTTCTGCATCTCTTCTGCTTGGGACATGGAATGAAGATTTGCAACTTCTTCTAAGCAGAAACACTAGAAATTGACACCCAGGGAAGTCAAAGTATTATGAAGTATATACACTGCTTCCACTTTTCTGTTGCCTTATCTTGCCACCAGCATTGCTTCGTCCATGGTGTTCACCAGTGGATTTCCTTGAAAAAGTGCAAAAAAATGCTTTATTTCCATAGCATTGTTCTGCTGTTCTTGTTTGGTGCAAAACTGGAATGCTTGCCCCAGTGTCTGTGGCAGAGAGCTCTTGAGATGAGAGAGAGAGAGAGAGAGGAAGTCTGTGGCCTGCTAGGTGATGTTCAGCTCCTCCTCCCATCATGCCTGATGCTTAGCCATGCTGTTATAGGGTGATGGGAATCATAGTCCCACAATCACTAGAGGGTTACAGCTTCACCCCATCCTTGCTTTATGTGTAAGCCATATCCAGAAAGCTTTCCTTGCTGCAGGAGAACTGCCCTTTCAGTATGGACTCCAGGGAACCGATCCACTTGGCACATCTTTGCACTGGTTAAATGTGTGAGTGTGGGGGTTTTTTTGTAGAGGGCTGGGAAACTGAAGAAACTCAGGATGCAACAAGCCAGGACAATAGAAGCCTAAAGCAGCCTCCATGTGCCTGAATAGCTCCTTGCAAGGATAGGTATAATAGTTCCAGGTGTTCTATCATAAGGGTATGCCACAGGTGGCCCTCTGCCAGATTTTCTTTATCCCACTGCCAATCACACACAACAAACTCTTCCTAATATGGAAAATCTTACAAGCTCCAGGAGCAGCGATTCTTCTCTAAAGTTGAGTACCTGCCTTTTGTTGGGAAGCCTCATTTAAAGTATATGTTTAAAAAAAACAAACAAACAAACACCTTTCTGGTCACTCATAGAATCATGAAGTTGGAAAGGGCCTATAAGGCCATAGAGTCCAACCCTCTGCTCCATGCAGGAATACAAGTTAAAGGATATCTGCCAGGTGGTTGTCTAAGTTTCTCTTGAATGTCTCCAGTGTTGGAGCACTCACCACCTCCCAAGATAAATGATGCCATTGTTGTATTGCTTAACAGTTAAGTGTTTTTCCTGATACTCAACGTACATCTGGCTTCCTATAACTTGAGGCCATTGTTGCATGTCCTGCACTCTGGGATGATTGAGAACAGCCCCTGTCTTTCCTCTGGGTAATAGCCTTTCTATTTGAAAAGTGCTATCATCTTTCCCGTTGGTCTTCTTTTCTCAAGGCTGAACATGCCTAATTCTTTCAGTTTTTCCTCATTGGGCTTGGTTTCCACTCCTGATTCAAAACAAAACAAAACACAAATTTTTTTTGGAAGCGGTGTGGCCCCACAGCAGGTTTACCAGGGGCACAGATGCTTCATGGACTTGCCAGACTTCCCCTGCCCCACACCTTGCTCTGCTAATTTTCAATATTCTTAGAAAACAACACATTCAGGATTGCTAGGAGGACGCTGTTGATGGCTGTGTGACTTTGTGCAGTGGGGCCATTGGAACACAAGGGAATGAAATAAATTATTTAAACATGGTGTCAAGCCTTTGGGGTGGAGGAACAAGTGGATTCAACTATGGCTGAGGTAGAGTTCAGAAAGTTACTTTTTGGAGTTTTAGACTACGGTTCCCAGAATTCCAGTCTGGTGGTTGATGGGCATGCAGAGGTGGAAACCATGGTGCATTTGGTAGGACAGGGATAACAACGATGAAACCTGGTGCTCATGACTTCTGACCTGAACGATGGCCTGCTTGCTGCTTCTTGGCAGATTCGGCGCGCTTTCCGCAGCATCCGGAACACTCTGCCTGAGATCAGCTACGTCTTCCTGCTGTTCATGTTCAGCGTCCTGATGTTTTCTCTCATGGCCCTCAAGCTTTTTGGGGACAGGTAAGAGAGGGCCACCCACCCAGCTTTCTGAGTAGAGGGATGGGCTCAGAGCTCAGAAAATTCATTTTTAGAAGTTAAATGTCTGTCCTCATTACTTGCTGTAGTGCATTTTTAAAGAAATTCATTGCTATTACACATTTCCTTTGTTTTTTGGGGGTAAAGGAATTATGAAAACTGAAATGTTTTGCTCAGAATGCCTCTTAAAATGTTATTTAAAAGTAATTATCTGTGTCCCCTAATGGACTTGGCATCTTAGCAGAGTTGACTTATGCCATCTGGGGAATCTCTAGGAGAAGACCAAGAACCAGAAGCCCATTCTGGAACAGGACCCTGTTTGTCTTTCTTTCTTCCACCACTCTTTAGCTGAACAGTATTTTGGGCAGCTGGAGTTACCATCTGTATCTTAATTTTCCACTTTTTAAAAAATATATATTTTTAGGAATTTGAAGACTGTGGAAGGTGTGCCCTATTTCACCAATTACCTTGAAATTGTGTTTGATATGTATGTGCTGGTGACCACAGCAAACAGTCCTGATGTCATGTAAGTATTTGCCTTTCTCCGGATGGATGGATGGATGGATGGATGGATGGATGGATGGATGGATGGATGGATGGATGGATGGATGGATGGATGGATGGATGGATGGAAGGATGGAAGGATGGATGGAAGGATGGAAGGAAGGAAGGAATCTCTATACCAGCCAACTTAGTGAAAGCCACTACTCTGGGCGGTTTATATAATAAACATATAAGAATATTAACCCCACTGACTCCTACCCCATAACAAATAAGGTCAAACAGAACCCAATCAAAAACCAACAAACCATATGGTGACATATAATATAAAATCAGTTACAGGTCATGAATTGACATCAAGGAATCATATGTTGTTAAAAGCCTCTCTATACAGTTCTGCCTTCACCAGTTTCCTGTTGAAGAGTGAGGGGGCCTGATGTACCACCAATAGATGTCCATTCCACAAGAAGGGGGCTGCCACTGAGAAGGCCGGCTGCCTATTAGATGTTCTTCTCACTTCTCTCATTGTGGTCACCCTCAATAGTGAGGCCTGGAAGGACCAAATGAAGTGAGTAGCTTTTCTTTGAGAGAGGTACTCTGACAGGTATCAAGGTCTCAAACTGTTAAGGGCTCTGTATGCCAGAACCAGTACCTTGAATCTGGAATGGAAGCTAACAGGGAGTCAGTGCAGGCGAACCAGGAGTTGGTTTGGAGCTGGTGTTGCTATGTTGTGATGAGACACCGTCGCTGATGGTGTAAAGGCCCCAAACTCATCACAGCAATGGCAGAATAATTTAATCTGTTACATTTTATGAAATGTGATGTACTGAATAACAGATCCTGTTCTTCTCTTTTAGGATGCCAGCATATGACTTTAGTTGGTGGTATTGCTTGTTTTTCATAGTCTATGTTATAATCAACACGTACATCTTCATGTCGGTCTTCTTGGCTGTTGTCTACAACAACTACAGAAAACACTTAAAAGTAAGTTCTGCGTAGAGGAAGCGCACACTGTTTGATCCAGTCTGCTCAAAAGGAAGAATCTTCAAAGATTGCTTTCTTCCTATTCCCATGTCAGCCCGGGGTCTTTTGGATCCGAATGGGTAGAGTCCAATGTTGTAGGGAAAGAGATCAAAAGCAGCAAAAGGGAAAGAAAGAACAGAGAGAAAAGGGAACAGGTTGGCCCCAGGCATACTTTAGGCCCCCTTTATCATTGGCATCATCTAACAACAATCTGCTCTTGTCAGAATGGCCTCTTCACATTCTAGCTATCAGGCAATGAACTCCCCCACAGAAAGAAGGTTGCCCCACTTTGTATTTGCTGCGTTGGAAGTCAAAACTGACCAGGACAATATCAGAAGCTTCACCTGTACACAGAAAATGCAGTCTTTGTTTGAAGTGCATATGGTATATGGGCAAAGGAAGGGGCAAATCACTGTGAGACAGTGTTAATTGAACTAATCTGCAATTAAGGGAGACCAGCAGTGCCTTGTTAGGTGCTTCAGAGGTCAGTGGCTCTGGTTTGTGGGGGGCAGTGAATCCACTCTGGGGTTCAGTATATATTTTAAAAGAGTTGTTCAGGTTGCTGAATTTATTTTGCAGATAGGGTTTAGAACATGGGATACCTCCTGTAAAGTTTGGGCTGAAACTCAGAGCAAATTCATAGAAAGTCCCTCCCCTGCAAAGAAAACATTGCTAGCAATTTATCAAGGAGGCAAATCTATTTTGCATATAACATGACAACAAGCAACTTCCATAATTAAATGCGGCAGGTGTGGAGTGCTGCTGTTGAAACAGGAAGCACTGTTTATTTGATCCTCTTCCCATGGCAGTCACTTTCTGTCCTGTGGCCATTGAACGTGCTTAGTTTGGAGTAAACTATTTGGGGGACAGATTACCCTAGATTACTCTCCTAAATGTTATATTTTACTTCTTCAAATCTCAAGTTTTCCCACCAAGACTGTTTCCTGCCTCTGGCGCATAGGTACCCTTTTGGGAGACATAAGGTGCAGAATTTATAGCATGAACTTTGGAAGGAGAGGGAGTGATCCTGAACAGCATTTGTCCCTGCACTTCAGAGTTGGAAGTTGAGCCATGCCTGAAACCTGTGTTATTGGTCCCCAGGCCCAAACTTTTGAAAGTGATAAGCTGTGTTTTCCAGAACGAAATCCGCAAACTCGCTTACATGAAACGTCGCAAGATGATTGAAGCCTTCAACCTCTTGAATGTCAAAGAGGGAGCAGCATTTGTGGTCAAAGAAGGCCAGTGGAAGCATCTTGTAAAGCTGGTGGCACCTGGAATCAGCGCTTCCCATCGAGAGCTCCTCTTAAGGATCTCTGATGAAGAACAGAAAGGCTGGGTGGGTGAGTAGTAGCTCAGGAGTCCACCATGATCGCAGTCTTTGCTAATTCCACTACAGATTGTCCTGATTCAAACTTCCCTCACAAGGCTGCAGAACTGAACATGGTTATTCTTCAGATTTCATATTTCATACTATGAGATCCGTGGGTAAGTTCTGAGAGAACAAGGAAACGTGAAGGAGACGACACATGATATAATAGTCCCTGCTACTTAGAAAGACCTAATGCTTTAGCCCTTCATGTTCCACTACACCACTCCTTGGTGGCACACGTTACGTTGTTATGTGACGTCAAGTCAGAACTGATTTACAGTGACCTTAATAGCAATTTCAAGGTAAATGAGATATTTTACCAGCTCCACACCTACAGTGAGCTTCTGTGACTGAGCAAGGATTTGAACCAGACCTCCAGAGTCCTTGTCCCTCACCTTATCCACTATACCACTATTATCAATATTCTAAATCTTTTATCTAGTGAACCACTCCAAAATGTTAGTCTCAACCTGCAGTCTACAGTGGCCCCGTTGATCAGATGAGCATTTATTTATTTATGTCTTTTGGTGAGAGTCCACCAGAACACACAGTTAATGCGAAAATGTTCTCTTTCTTTCAATGCCCTGTGTTTGTGCATACACAGATACACATGTACACACTTCCCATGTGTGGCTATACCACCTCCTCAAAACTGCTTGTATTCTTGCTTTAGGCTTTATGTAACAACTGGCTTCAAGGCTAAGTATTCACCTAAGAATCTTCTAAAATTATTCTCTCCCCCCCCCCTTGTGTATTACAGACAAGAAATCTTTTGTACGCCTAGCTGATCTGTTAAATATACAGGTTATCACAATAAAACTTCACAGCCACCCTCTGGACATCTGGTTTCCTCACGTATACAACTCTGCTCCCAGCCTGTTCATACGCAATATGGTCCGGCACAAGTAAGTCTGTATTACTTGTAGAGGTTGGAAATGCCCCCCCCCCCTTTGGACCATACATAGTTGCCATTTGAATGGAGGGATTCTGAGAGATAGTCAGAGAAGTTAAGTCTCCCAGGTCCTGGTTTCTTGTCCTTCCAATAAACTGCTCCTGTAAGCCCTGACAAGGTACTGTATCTTCATCTACCTATGTGGTTGTCTTAGGAGGCATCCAGCCAAGCTTTTCCTATCTGGACTTTGAAGATTAGAATCATTTGATTTGATTTGATTTGATTTATATACTGCCCATCTGACAGCCATGGCCACTCTGGGCGGTTTACAACCTTGAAAAAAAGAACATTCAATTCTTTTTTAAAACAACAACAACTCTGGTTTATGAATATGGGATATTGTGTTTCTATAGCCACTATTCAATATGCCAGAAAATGGCCCCATATTGCTGCACAATATCATGCCATCACTGCCAGCAGAAAAAAAGGATGCCAAACTTTGCAAAGCAAAGGGCAGCCTGAATGTTGACAACACCAATGGCAGCCGTCAAGATGGTCTTCTACAGGATACCCACTTGTGCTCAATACCATTTACAAAGTGATGCTTCTGTTTGGATTAAAGCATCACACTGAGACTATGGATTGTTTGGGGGCCAGTGTCCACACTAGCCCCTTATAAGGCCACTGAGTCCAAACCCCCTGCTCACTGCAAGAATCCAAGTCAAAGCAGACCAGACAGATAGTTGTCCAGTTTTCTCTTGAATGCCTCCAGCACTGGAGCACTTGCTACCTCCCGTGGTAATTGGTTCCATTGTTGTGCTGCTCTAACAATTAAGAGGTTTTTCTTGATATTTGGCCTAAATCTGGCTTCCTGTAGCTTGAACCCATTATTATGTGTCCTACACTCTGAGATGGTTGAGAATAGATCCTGCCTCTCCTGTGTATGACTACCTTTCAGGTATTTGAAAAGCGCTGTCATATTTCCCTTTAGTCTTCTTTTCTTAAGGCTAAACATGCCGAGTTTTTTTCAGCCTTTCCTTATAGGGCTTGGCTTCCAGTCCCCTGATCCTTGTTGCCCTCCTCTGAACTTGCTCCAGTTTGTTGGCATCCTTCATAAAGTGTAGTGTCTTACTAAGCAGAATTAGACTGCTTAGTAACGGATGGCCAAATAAAGTTTTTATATATTCTCTTTCAGGGGATTTGTTTGGCTGTATGACATAATCATATTAATCAATGCGGTCTTCATTGCCCTGGATGAGAGGAACCCCTACATTTCCTATGCGGAGTGGGTGTTCCTTTGCCTGTACATAGCAGAGATCCTCCTGAAATTGTATACCTATGAACCCAGGACCTTCTTTGCAAGAAATCAGTTCTGGAACTGGTAGGCATAGCCTTCATTTTTGTCCTTTTCCACATTGACAAGGCGGTGTCTCTGTTTAGGAGAAGGAAGGCAAGGGGTTGCATCCTGTCATTAGAGAATATTCAACAGGTTCCCCCTCTCAAAATATCAGCCATAGAGCAAGATATAAAGAATTGGGGGGGGAGCATATGGATATTTCACATTAATTGACCATACTGAGATATGCAGATGTGGTTCTTAGTTTCAGATGTTTGCTTCTAAGCTTAGGGTCCCTAATGTGACACTCACCAACTCCCTCCTTAGACTTGCTGCCCCTCCTGGTTAAATTTTAATGACTTTTTTTTTCACTTAGACTCAAATGGCACAGCTGTGTGCTACAGTGAAGAGTACTCAGCCATCCCTCCCCTCTCAGTTTACCTTCTGGGAAGCAGGTATGAGGGTAAATACGTGGCAGTGTCTGAAGCTCAGGCCTTACCACTACTTGTACAATGGTGCCTCGACTTACCAACTTAATCCATCCCAGAAGATGTTCGTAAGTCGAAATGTCTGTAAGTTGAATCAGCATTTCCCATTGAAATGCACTAAAACCCAATTAATCTGTTCCGGCTGTTTTTTGTTTGTATGTAGAGGCGCCGGTTGTAAGTTGAAGCATTAGCTCCCATAGGAACTAATGCAAAACCAATTAATCCTTCTTCTACCAGTAGAGGGAGAATTTTTTTTTTACCTAAGCTGACTTAGGTTTAAAAAAGAGCAGGAAAGGAGGGAGGGAGGGAGGGAGGGAGGGA